AATAAAAAATAAAATCCCTCCATTGTGTAAATTCTATAACGTTATCTGTATCAAACAATGTGAGAGTTTTTTCTATTGGCATAAAGAGAAATCCTTATGTGACCTTTGACCTACTTACCCCAAAATATAATCAGATTGTCTTCCTAAAGTGATACATACATGTACTATTAGCAGGTTTGAAGTTCATACCTCAAATGATTACTAAGATATCGCAATTACAAGGCTTAAAACGCATTCATTAAAAAAAAAAGTGGCAACAACCAAAGGAAATTGGAAATGCCCTTTAGGCTCCCTGCACCAAAAGCAGGCATGGTGTTAGGACTTGTATGTGACAGAAGTAATTGTGAGGCAAAAGAAGCTGTGAAGGTGGAAGGATAGCGAGGATATCGTACATGATCAAGAATGTCAAATGCAATCAGATCTATAAACGAAACTTAAAACAGAATTGGGTGTACAGAATCATGCTACTTGTATGACATCAAAGTATGCCCCCCCCCATGCCCCATGCTAAAACAAAATTCACTCAAATGTGAAGATGCAAGGAAATTTATAAAATTGACTTAATCTCTGGGAAAATCACAAATGATGGGAACACTGGATGTAGCATTAGGTGTATAGGATCATGCTACTTGTATAGCATAAACGTATGACCCCCGCCCATGATGATTATACGACTGAGAGTGCGTCAACCATGATCACTGCTGTTAATGAGACAGCCCCACACCCATTGCTGCTTCGATGTACTTACCCCAATATGTAATTTCTTTCATAGCAGGTAATTAGCAGGCAAGTGGTTGTGTCTAAGGGTTGAATAACAGCTTCAATTGAGGCAAAGTGTCCCCAGTGCTGTCAGCTGCACCATAATCAGGCACGGTGTTTAATAGGACTTGTTACAGAGGTAATTGTGAGGCAAAAGAAGCTGCGAAGGTGGATGGATAGCAAGGATCTCCTACATCTTCAAGCATGTTTGGTTTCTGTTCATAATTGATGCAATATTAACATGAAATTACACTAATTTTATGACAGCTAGCATTCAAATCAATGTGAAGATGTAATCAAATTTATAAACGTAACTTAAAACAGAATAGGGTGTACAGAATCATGCTACTTGTATGACATCAAAGTATGACCACCCCCCCCCCCCAAGGCCCCATGCTAAAACAAAATTCACTCAAATGTGAAGATGCAAGGAAATTTATAAAATTGACTTAATCTCTGGGAAAATCACAAATGATGGGAACACTGGATGTAGCATTAGGTGTATAGGATCATGCTACTTGTATAGCATCAACATATGACCCCCGCCCATGATGATTATACGACTGAGAGTACGTCAACCATGATCACTGCTGTTAGTGAGACAGCCCCACATCCATTGCTGCTTCGATGTACTTACCACAATATGTAATTTCTTTCATAGCAGGTAATTAACAGGCAAGTGGTTGTGTCTAAGGGTTGAATAACATCTTCAATTGAGGCAAAGTGTCCCCAGTGCTGTCAGCTGCACCATAATCAGGCACGGTGTTTGATAGGGCTTGTGACAGAGGTAATTGTGAGGCAAAAGAAGCTGCGAAGGTGGATGGATAGCGAGGATCTTCTACATCTTCAAGCATGTTAGGTTTTCTGTTTGTATTAAAAAGATGCAATATGAAAATAAAATTAAAAAATTGCTCAAACGGCATTCGATCACTCCAATTTGAAGATGCAAGCAAATTTATAAAATTGACTTAAATAATGTTTGGAAAAATCACAAATGATAGGAACCACTAGATGCTGAATTGGGTGTATAGGACCACCCTACTTGTATGGTGCAAAGTATAACCCCCCCCCTTATGGCTTATATTCATGACTGAGAGGTCAACCTTGATCACTGCTGTCAGTGTAAGGGTTGAATAACAGCTTCAATTGAGGCTTAGGGGGGGGGGGGGGGGGCTAAGTTTTCAGAGGGGGGGGGGGGGGGTAAAATGTCCTTTTGCGGTAATTGTCAGGGGTGATTGTCGGGGGGGGGGGGGGGGGGTAATAGTCTATAGAACCCTATAACAACACGTACTACACCGATGCAGAATTAGGTGCATAGGATCATTACCCCCCCCCCCCTCCCTCCACTATAAATAGCTTTCCCTGAATTGTTCAAGTCAGTGCTTATTGTGTACTACTGTATATGCCCTTTGCTTGTTCGTATTGTTAGATTACAACAGTAATTACCAAAACAATAACATTTTTTTCTTCAAAAATAGAGTTGGGCCAGTGTATGATCCTAAGAAACAATTTTACCAAAAAAAAATTACATTGATAACTCATTTCAATGAAAACATATAAAATCTGATTGATTAAAATATAATGAAATTATAACATAAAGAACAATTAATATACTCCATCTACAAAATATTCAGTGAAAAATCCTGGTTATTATGTGTTAATGGCCAATAACATGCTGTCTGCTCCATAATGCATCATCATTCCATTTTGCCATTTAATGGTCCCAAATACAAAAATAGATAGTTTTTTTTTTTTTTTTCAAATCTTGTGATGTGTATTTCTAACAATGAGTTATTCCTATCATTCTCTATCTTTATGAAAAAGAAAAATAATAATTGCAAATTACAATTATGGATGTGGCTCTTTTACTTGTCCTTGCATGGCCCTAGCTTGACTTCCTGCAGGGTACTTTGTGCCAAGTTATTTCTCTAAGAGTGGAATTGATGTGAGGAATATTGCCATTTTCAGTAGGGGCACTGGTCTGAGAATGAAGATTGTCCGCATAAACAAGAATATCCTGGTAAACGCGGACAAGTCTCGACCTAAAAAAATAAGGATAGTCTGCAATTTTCACAGACGTTTTTTCTTCTTCGGTGCTCTGCGGGTACAGGGTTCCTGATCCGCGTGCTGGCAATTAATGCGAAAAAAACGGATTCCGCGTAATAAAATACCCCCAGTTCACCGTCTACTTTCTATGGGTTGTCCGTCTTCCCTAGGATTTATTGTTCATAAAAGTGTAAGTCTCTGCGTAAGTGTAAAATGCATTATGGAGCATCATCGCGGAATTCGTTTTTCGCATCACCAACGCGCGGATCAGGAATCCGGATCCTTCACAAAAATGTGGATGATCCTTATTTTTCTGGATGCGAATGGTCTGCGTTTACGAGGGTATTGTCGTTTATGCGGACGATGCTTATTCACGTACCAGCACCCCTACTGATTTTGTGAATAAACCATTGTTGTTGTTTTTTATCGTGTAGGCCTATATAATCTACAGACATGTGCAAGCATTGCGCACAATGAACCGTTAGGCTATACTGTGCAGAGTCCTTGAATGAGTGGTGGAATATTTCACAAGCATGTCAAGAATTTGTAGACAATATGGTCATCTTGACTATAAAATAATTATTTAAAATGAAATACCTACATAGTACATTGGCTATATAGCGCCAAACATGCCAAATGAGGAGAGTGAGCAGCACAAATAGCCGCAGTATTATCAAGGTTTGCCCAAAATTTCATTGAATTTTCTGTTGATCTAGACAGAGTCTATCATAAAGTCTATCGATGCGCAAACGCTAGTGAAACAAAGTGCAATGGAATAGTATCAAGCTTTCAAGGGGCATTTTTTGCAGTTTTTCAACGCGATTTTGAGCTGTGACTGTGAGTGTGAATCAGATGAAATTAAATAAGAGAACTGATTTTTTAAGGTTATTTAAACTGCAGTATGATTTTGAAGCATCATAATGATTTAGATCTATATTCAATATTCAATTGAACAATAATTTACATTTTCTCCTATTTATAATTTAGTAGGCATAGACACCTAGATCTAGATCTAGGCTACCGGTATTTGTTTTGTAGACCTAGAAATCAACATAGATCTACATGCATGTGTGGAAAAGTACTAGTAGTAGTAATAGGAAATCCAATGAGTTTTATGACGTCGATACCGGTTAATTAATGGCTAGACCTTATGCATTGAAATTATAGGAGTGTGAAGTGGAATTTGGTATGCTCAAGTTGGATGAATTTTGATTGTACAACACTTTTTCGTAGAAAAATTGCCAACACACACACACAAATAACGATAGAATCACACACAGAAAAGTTTATATTTGGGACTAGATCTAGATAGGTCTCATGAAATACAAAGGCAAATGGTTTTCAAACAATATTAGTCCTTATAATTAGACTCTATCGATTATTCCTCTGACTGAGATGAATATCTAGATCTATATATTTAAAACTTACGGTATACATTGTAGATATTTTTGGAGTGAAGACAAGGAACCACCAGCAGGGCAAGGCTAGCTGCGCCGACCAGCTGAAACTGTATCTGATGCTAGCCGCAGGTATGCGAGCTCTGCGGGTCTAGCGGGGACGCCGGCGGTCGACGCCAGTCCTGGGCGTACTGCAGAGAGCTAGCCTTGCCGGGTCGCACTAGCTAGCCCTGCCAGCTAGGCCGGACCCATGGGGAGCGTCGGGGTTTTAATGCCCCCTTTTCCTTCCAAAAAAAGCCAAGAATTTTCAAATAAATGTTCAGTTTACGCATTCAGAAATGCCTCAGAATGTACCATAAAGCATCTTATAGTTCAATTTTTTTCCGGGGCCCTTTGGCCCCGGACCCCACGCCGATTTAACTCTTCATGCCCCTCCTTTAAAAAAAAACTCTTGGATCCGCCGCTACAGCGGGTCGAGCATGATGTATTTCGCATAGGCTGCACTCCCTGATAATACGCACGCGTATTCCGCACAAGCATTCCCAGCAACTTACTGTTACAGAATATAATCTAAAGGCGACGATCTACAGAAGCTGAGTAGCGCGCGCGCTGGAAGACTTGTTTCCTCAGTATCTTACTGGGTCATCAGTATATTCTAGGTGACAATATAGTTCCAGTACATGACTATTGCAACTATATCACCTAGGTTATCAGATTATATTCTGCTCTGATATTAACCGACCACATTGGGTAATCCGCTACGGTACTTTGCTGACTCGATTATTGGTATCAGGTGACATTGACAGCTTCATCAAAGCTGGTGAGTTTTTTTTTTTTTTTTTTTACATCAAAAGGTTCAATAAAGGTTAAATGGTTTTAAAAATATGTATTTAACTGAATCATGAATAAAAACTGTAAGACTGAAGATAAAATATCTAGTGTAATTACGTCTAGTGTAGATTAGATTTGGAATCTTGGACTCTTATGTTGGAGCATTACGTCTCGTTTCTGAATCTGATCAACATGGTCATGGCAGAGGTCTATATGCAATTACTACAGGATTAAGCTGAGAACAATATAGTATTAATGACTGCTTTGAGAGAAATAGTTGTTTTATTACGCTCAAGGGAAGGTTAGAATTTTGCTATTCCCCGAGGCTTGCCGAGGGGAATAGCCCAATTCTAACCTTCCCGAGAGCGTATGAAAACAACTATTTCTCGAATATTAAAGCAGTCATTAATACTTTTATATGCCGAAAAAAAATAGACTAAAAAATGAAAAATTAAAAATATTTATCAGTTTAGTCGAAGACGGGATTCGAACTCTTGCGTACAACAAGAGGTGTACCGAAAACCAACGCTTAGACCACTCGGCTATGGCCCGCCGTTAACATGCTTGGCAGTTTTCTTTAATATATACATTAAAATGGATTGAAACCGGCTTCGCGTGTGATGAATGCTTCGCAAAAGCTCCATATACGGACTCTTCTTTTACTTTTGCAATGCATATTGGCACGAACTTAGATCAAGATCTATCGGCAGATGTTGTTTTTAATACTAGCAGTCATTAATACTTTTATATGCCGAAAAAAATAGACTAAAAAATGTAAAATTAAAAATATTTATCATTTTTGTCGAAGACGGGATTCGAACTCTTGCGTACAACAAAAGGTGTACCGAAAACCAACGCTTAGACCACTCGGCTATGGCCCGCCGTTAACATGCTTGGCAGTTTTCTCCAATATATACATTAAAATGGATTGAAACCGGCTTCGCGTGTGATGAATGCTTCGCAAAAGCTCCATATACGGACTCTTCTTTTACTTTTGCAATGCATATTGGCACGAACTTAGATCAAGATCTATCGGCAGATGTTGTTTTTTTGTTTTTGGAAGTTTATTTTCGTCTTCATGTCAACAATGCAAGATAAAATTGTCGGTAAGATCGATCGAGATTCAATTGTATTGAAATTACCGACCCATCCTTCGCACACATACGGCATCCTCCATCGCTCAAACCATTTTTTAACATGTAAACCTATGGGGTAACCATGGACGCTGACCAACTTTTTTTAATAACCATGGTTATTAAAAATATTGAAATGTTTTATGCATGGTTACCGAGAATTTTACAGGAACAGTTGAAGTTTATGAATGCAATTCGACCAATCAGATGGCTGGATTTCTTAAGTGAGGTATATAACAGCTGTTATAATCTATTAGTCTATTCATATATTAATTATTTGTATATATTTCTTTGCACAGGAAACCGCAGAACTGGAAGGGTAAAAACAGAAGGGAGGAGAACTCTTGCGTTTGGCAAAGGTCTTTACATGTCTGGTCATGTGCAGTCAGTCCAATATCATGACATCAACCCAAAGATTTGCTACTGCTTCGTGCGAGGAAAGGTATATATCAGTCATATTATTTTAGTACTTAGTAGACTTAGAATAGGTTCATATTTAAAAATAAAATTTATATGATATAATTGTTTAAAGAGAAATACATGTAGCTTAAATCACAGTGTGGCTATGAGACTATTCTGAAGAAGTAATGACTAATGCCAACACCATTATTTTGTACCTTAACCTTATAAAATAACATTGTTGTAGTGGTTCTTCATTCTTTTTTCTCAATGTATAGGTCGTTTCTCAGGTCAAGACTTCTGAGCCAGCATACTTGACATGGCTAGTGCTGCAGAAAGACACAGGAAGAATCTGCACAGCTGAATGCAACTGTTGCTCAGGGTAAGCATTTTAATAAAAAAAAATGCAGTCACATAAATTGTAGAAATTTCGGAGTGCATTACCACAAAAATTGACTAGACTTGCAGATGAAGCTGAATCCAAAGATTAAAGTTTCTTAGCTAATTTTAATTTGCATTCTAACCCTAAACCCAACCATAGATTTTACCTCAAATATACCCAATGCTTGCGTCATTTATACATTAAACATTTTAAAAATAATTAATTAGTTTTCGTAACAAGTTTTTGTGACTTCGAAATCATAACACTAAAAGGGATGGGTATGGAGGAAATTTTCTTTGTAAGTAATACTTTTTCCTTCTTATATTTTGATCTCGCAGTGTACAGGCCACCTGCAAGCACATTGCGGCTCTCCTGTTTACTGTAGCAGAAGTAGTGGCGGTCGAAGGGCGCCACGCATCCTGTACGTCACAGCCTAAAGCATGGGGCCTTCCGCCAAAACGGAGGATGAAAGAGGCTCTCCACCAACCTCAATTTACTGAGGACAATGAAGTTGTGGGAATGACAGAGGATGTTATGCATCACGAGCTAGGCAATGGTAGACTTAATCGTTCGAACTTTGACCCTAGACTCCATTGCCATCGTGCCAAACGAAATATTAATGATTTCGACCTAGACTGGCTCGCCTCCATCACAAACGGGAACTGTGGTTTGTTAGCGTACACCAAGCGGGAGCCCAATGAACTACGATCAACGCCGAACATTTCAGAGGTCGACAGATATGAAGAGGTAGTCTCTTGCGATTTCCCTTAGACTATGTCAGAGGCTCTTCAAGATCGCTCAGACATCCAGCTTATGGAAATAAGTACCCACCAGCAACAGGTCATCATAATAGAAACAAAACAACAGGCGAAGTCGAAGCGTTGGAAGAAACACAGAGTTACATGGTCGCATATCTGCTTAGTGTTTCTGGGGACTGTATGTGAAGCAGGTCAAGCAGCTGTGAGAAATGGTACTATCCATGACCTCTCCCAAGTTGCACGAGTGATGGGGTACTTTGGATCAGCCTGACAGAAGTTCGAGGTCCTATTACACGGCACCTTTATTCGTAAGAGGTATGGGTTGTATTGAGTATGCAAACTAACTTTCTTGAGTTGATCAACGTTGTCCAAGAATCAATCAAATGTAGTGTCCTGTCCTGGCAAGCTGAAATATGGCAAGACAAACTCGTGATGAAATGGTGAGACGAAATCTGATTTCGTTGAGCAGTTATTAAAACTTTGAATAGCGTTACGAATTACTGTTCCTCATGGCAACGGACCACGAATCGAATCTGATTGGAGAACGTTGTCCAAAATACTTTCAAAAGCAGTTATGAATAACAGCAAATTTATTTTACTTAATTTTTGATAAATTATGCACAACTTGTAATAAACAAAGATTACGTACAGCGAAACTTTGGGAAAGTAACAACCATTCGAAAGAGGTTAATAAAAAATTTCATCATAGAAATGTTATTGGAAATACAAAGAAAATATAAGATACCTCGATTTAGTGAAGAAGTTAAGAAAGTAATAAAAATGTTATAATGATCATTATGTTAGAAATTATGTTGATCTTGTATATAATTAATGTTACATTTCACTTGTTTTGTAAATAGTATATATCTATTTTGAAATGGAATAATAATGTCCCTCTGAAGAGGTAAAGAGAAAGAAAAAAAAAAGTAGTTAGACCTGTTCTTTATTTCAAGCTGAAATATTGCGCGACTTGTGATAAATTCGGGAGACGAAATTTGATCGATACACGTTGACTTTGATAAGTGCGGGAATCAATGAGGTTCCTGATTACAATGGTCCATGGAAAGTGAATCGAATGTGCCTCGAAAACGTTGTTCAAAATGCTATCAACATAATAATCGAAAGCAGTGATGTATTTTGTGACCTGAATTCCTGCTCGAAATGAGATGAATTCGTTAGCAACAGTCTTCAACTCGAACACAATTGGCTTTGAAGATACCTTTCATGATGTATTGATGTTATGACGTAACAAGGGAGAAGGAGGATATACCATCAAACAAAAGATCCATTCATGATAATGCTCTTTTCAGTTCACCTCGTTGTTTTATAATGTAGAGTTCTTTGGAGCGAATACAAAAGGAAGTTTGCTCTAAAAGAAAGAACAGGATATGTGGCAGGATTTCACGCTCGGGATTTAGGAGAGAACAAAAGATTGACATTCCAAGGGGTGTTTTAATTCAAAATAATTCTATAGCTCTTTTAGCCAGTGGAATGAATAGAATCTCTTTTTTTTAAGAGAGACCAAAAACTGTATTGAGCTAATGAAACATTCCTTTGTTAAGGAAAGAATAATAAAAAAAAGGAACTGAAAAAAAAAAAATCATCTATGTTATCATTTTGTTCTATGAATCGAGCTAACTAGGGCGGAGAAAAGTTAATGATGATGGGATTCATTTACTTCACCTCGCTGTTGGATAAAATTAAGGAGTGATCACAAAAGAAACAAAGATTTTAAAATAAAGAACATGAACTTTTTAGATCACAAGTGTGTGATTTAAGAAGAAGAGAAACAATTCCGTCTCGTCAGGGTGTGTTTGTTTTATATTAGCATTTTGAAGAAAGAAAACAAAAAATCACAGATCGGTTGAACTTTTTAGACCCCCCCCCCCCTTTTTTTTTATTTATTTATTTTTTTTTATATATGTATGTGCCCCCTCCCCCCAAACATCGAACTCTGGCTACGTGCCTGCATATGACCAAATGCAAAGTCAAAGGCCCGAATTCACAACGGAGGTCTGAGGACAGACCCGGTTTGATCAGACCAAGGTTTGTACAAACCTCGGTCTGAGCTCAAACCTGGTTTATTTTCAAACCCATTCCACAAAGGAAGGTTTGTATAAACCTTGGTCTGTAATTCCCAAACCTCCGACCAAGGTTTGTAAAACTAGTCTCAGCCATAGGGTTTCTAACATAATTTTTATGGGCTAGGGTTTAAATGTTAAGAATTGAAAAAACTGTTAAACTAAGCATTCTTAGTACGATCCGGACATCTTAATGAGCAATCTTGAAAAGATGATGGTTAGAACATCTCTGAAATAAACTTTTGAATTGTATTTTCATGAATTAATCGAACCAAACTGGCGCGCCGATGCAGAAAGTGCCCCACGTACTCACATTTGTGTGGTGCTGGTGAAGCACTCAATCTGACCCAGAACAAATTGACATCGGCACCTGAAAACCTTCGTTAGATAAATACATCTAAGGTTGTCAAGGGCTCTTTTAAATTAACTGTAAGAGTCTTATTGTTTTGGGGGTTACACATTCTTATCAATAAAATCACCTAATAATAATAATAATAATAATAATGATTTAATATGAATTAAGTTTTTATTGTGATTAATATATTAATTCATTTGATTGCAATTGTTAATTACTATACATCTATATAGTTATTTTGTTAGAATGGTCAATCAATTATTATTTTAACTAGTTCCCCGTTTGTTTCCCCTACTGGCTATTTTTTTCACATCAAAATTGCAACTGGTAAATGATTTGTTTCCATATAATATTAATTTTTAAAAATTCCTCTATGGCCATCTTTTCTTTCTCTCTCCCTCCCTGTCTCTTTCTCTGTCCCCGTCCCTCTCTCTTTCTACCCATTTTTGTTCTCTCTCCCTCCCTTTCTCTATTAATTCTTTTTCTTTCTCCCCTCTTTCTCTATTCATCTTTCTCTCTCTCCCTCCCTGTCTCTTTCTCTGTCCCCGTCCCTCCTCTCTTTCTATACCCATTTTTGTTCTCTCTCTCTCCTTTTCTCTCTCTATTAATTCTTTTTCTTTCTCCCCTCTCTCTCTCTCTCTCCCTCCCTTTCTCTCTCTATTAATTTTTTTCTTTGTCCCCTCTCTCTCTCTATTCAACTTTCTCTCTCTCTCTCTTCTTCTTTTTTGCAATGAAACACATAATGCAAAACCATGCAAACTGCAAACACACACATCTGCACCCCCCCCCCCCAAAAAAAAAAGGGAGAAAGAGAGAGAGAGATAATCTGACACATATCTATTTCGGTTATCTTTGTAAATATATGAAAGCAAGAATATTGTATTTGTATTTTCATGTTTTACATAAATAATTGAGCATACAACACAATAGTAATCTACCGTTTGTTCAAACAATGCAGTTCACATTTGTAAATTTTGTAGCATGCTTATATGAAATATAGCCCACTAGAGGTTAAGAGAGGCTCTGGAAGGCCAATTAAAAGTCTCACTGTAGCGCTATTAGCAGAAAGAAAATCAGAAATACAACAAAATGGGTGACGAAAATTCAAATTTGCACATAAAAGTTCTTTAATTCTGACTTCGCTTAGTACAGTAAATAATATTTGTTCGAATACTCTCCCCTAGCTGCCAACCAAATAATTTATATTGACCCACCCCTCAACTCAGCAGTACAATGCTAATTATAGTTAAATCGGGTGCATTTAATCTATAGAGAACACTTAATTACAAATACCGTCAGAGTGACAACAAATACTTATCAACTAAACATAACATCAAAAATATTCAACACCCAGGTTCTTGATGTAATGCTGCATAACTACGAAGTATTGTGGGAACACCAAGGAGGGGCCGTATTTTGAAATACTCTTAGTATTGATGAGGCATGGAACGTCCTCATCCTTGCATTTAATAAATATGCGCTCAATCACACATCTCCCTTTTTTGTGTGTGAAGTGTTAAAGCCCCACTGTACTACTTTTAGCTACTTGCTCCCTCTATATAGAAAACTTCCCCAATCTGTGCCTGTTAATCCCCCATGATCCTCTTTTTCTTATGTTAATTGAGAACTGAATTGATGAGATAGCCTCCCGTCAGTGACCTTGCTGGGTTGTCTAATCCTCTTTGGCTGAACTAGTACAGATGGCCTTTAAAGCACATCTGTGGTCGACCCTCTGAATGAAGAAATGGCTTCTGATGAGGCAGAGAAGGCATGGATACCTGCAAAATTGAATGAACAAAATAAACAATATCATAAACAATATTTTTAATTCCGACTTGTTCATTTTTTTTCTTGGAGGGGGGTGGGGGGGGGGGGGGGGTAATACTATAGAAAGGATACAATGTATTGTACACATAATCAGGAATTATTCAATCCTGTGTCACTAATACAAAAACTATGAGGTTCCACTTGACAACAAACTAATCAAGTTGCATCCAGATATCAAAAACATTAATTGTGATTTGTGAACTGAAATTTAAAAGCACATGAGCTCGTTTGAATTAATTACTTAATGCGAGTTGTTACTATATTACCAAATGAACATTCCTAACATGTCACATGTTGGCCAAATACAAAAAAAGAAACAAGATTGATTAAGAAAAAGAATAAACAAATGTTTTCATATAAAGAAATAATCTACAGTACCTACCCTATAGTCTATCTCCAAGAATCAACTGTTATTCATATGCCCTAGCATCAAGCTGTCAATTCAGTGCACACTCAGAAAAGATCCTGGCATCGTGGCTGCTACCAGTCCAGGCCACCTTGCAACGATACTAGTTATTTTCCCAGCATAATCACAGACAACCTGTCAATATGAAATAACATGTTGGCATTCATTAGTTATGAAAACTCACTCATTTCACACTTCAGATAGGCCGTGAAATGTATAAATTTCACTTGTTATTTATGGTAATTAATGCAAATGCAGTTGAATATGTGATAATTGCTTTTCAATATCTATTCATACAACAAAAATTGGAAGAAAATTCTAATTACCCTATATTTATTGACTGATGAAGTATTTCTTCATTTTTAACTCATGTTTTCATTGTTTATCTTGTAACAATGTAAACAAAAATAATCTCACTTTTAACAAAACATTTCGAGCCTAAAACAACAAATGCTTTGTTTGTGTGTGGGGGGGGGGGGGGGGGGGGAGGGGGTACCCACTCTCGCATCTTTTTATTGGAAATGAACCTGTTTGTTTTTCTATAGTTTAAAATATATAGTGGTAATTGCCATTGATCAATTTACATGCTTCTCTTTGTTGTTTTTTCTTTCATTGATCAATGGCAAAAACAGTGGCCCAATTGCCATGGCCATCAACAAAATATCAGAAATCTAGAGGTCATATCCGTATTGCCAATAGAAGGATGGAACAAGTTTTGATTTTTCAAATTTCCCTTTCGTTAAAAAGATATTAACGAGTGTTAGGATTTTTAAGTTTAACTATCCATTGGATATTCTTAACTGTGTACAAAGGCAGTGAAATGAGTACCTGTACGCGAATATTACTTTAATATCCATTTGGCCACTAGAAATCTTGCATTGGTCACCAATGAATTAGCATGGATGTACAACACACAAGACTGGAGAGTGTATATATCTAATGTGAAAATTTTGCAAGGTACAAAAAAAAAGGTCTAAAGGGAAAGCCGTGCTGGATCCAGTCATGATGTATTCATTTATTCTCACCTGAACATCGATGGAGTACCTGTTCTTCCTATTGAAGTAGTACCTGGCTCTTGCCCCACCAGGGCTCCTGATGTAAACATGTGTCCCATCAACAGCAACTCCTGGAAATCTGCAGTACTGGAAAAACTGCTTCTGAATAGTAGTCACTATTGCCTTGTAACTTGTAGGAAACTTCATGACTTGTCCCTTTCTTCTGACAACAGCTTCGGAAACATCCCTCACTACTCTCCATTCGGCCAACAGATGAATATGACACGGCATGCCGCCTCCTCACGGTGCATCCTTTAGATCGAATTACCTTTTTAAAAAAATTTAAAAAACAAGCATTCAAATAAATCATTTTTTTGCTGGTTTATGCTATTATATTTTTACATCCCCAACTGTCACTGTCACTTTACAAAAAAAAAATCCTGATTTCTAGATGTGGTGTGAATCAATTTAACGTAAAAGACAAAATTGTCTATGCCTTTTCTAATCTCCTTCACGGCTTCACCTTTTGAAAAATAAGTTTAAGTAGTTAAGTAGTTTTACACAAAACAAGAAATCACAAACCTGTTTCCAACACATAATCTGAATAATTTCCTCATGTATTAAAGCCAAATAACAGTATTGGGAAATGCCCCACACACAAATTATGAACATTAATGCTCCCATCACCTACAGTACCATGTAAAAGAATAAATATCATAACTAATCTATCAATGTATCGAATATGACAGAAAATGCTTAGAAATTGAATAAATTTATGTAAATGCACATGTGTATTGCATTGGGGGCTTGCACGGTCGTAGGCAGACCAGCGAAGCGGGGCAAACGAACAGTGAATTTAGGCGGTCAACATGAATTGAA